CTGTTACTATTAACATTTAGGGTTGTTATTAAATTAGCAAACCTACATATGTGTTTCTCTTGTATCTGTGTACAATCAGAAACATGGGTATTTTTCCAACTCCCCCTCACTTTTTTTTCTTCTTAATGGATTTATCTCAGCAACAATTACAATGTAAAAATAGCAAAAATCCACTGATACATAGAAGAATCTCCAGTCTTTCTAATACTTATAAGATAATAATGAAAAGATGATCTAGAAAAGAACTGCCCAGAAAACAAAATGCCAATTCAAACAAAGAAATTATTCAAATTATTCAGTATGCCCAAAGAATAATCTTTAATAGAGATATATATTTTTAATCTCAATGCCATCTTATGCAGCACATAAGCTGCAAGATCACAGACTCCTACAGTTCAGGCACAGCCTTCACTAATTTAGAACTGCTGACCAGAGGGAGAACAACCTGCCACCTACATGGTTAGTGGTGTTGATTATTATTGTTATAATGCTCCAACAGCTAGATTCCAGAACATGTTTAGTGGCAAATCACAGCTCAAACACTGCACCTTTTGATCTGTAGCCTAGACATTAACCACTAGGCTACAACTGCCTCAAGTGAGAAATATTCCAATATAAGGTATTTAGTCACATTTTTTAAAACTAATAATGAATGGCTGTCATCAAAACAACCTAATAGCAATTCTATTTATGGTCATAATACATTACCTATTTTGTTCCTTGTTTAGACTAAAAAAACATTGGATGTAATTCATTCAACTGTTTTTATAACTGATAATTTTACCTGGGTAACAAAGTAGTAACTTTGGAGTTGCCCCCCAGTGGTACAGCGGTATGTCTTCGGACTTACAACGCCAGCAACCGAGTTTCGATACCTGTGGTGGGCAGAGCACAGATAGCCCATTGTGTAGCTTTGTGCATAAGTTCAAACAAATAAACAAACTTTGGAGTTTCTAGTTTTCTTTGTTTTAAAGTTTTTTGGAACTGTGTTTTGGAGAATTGAATTTCAATATGAATTACAAAAATTATACTTAAAAGCTACCTACCTTTAACTATTTGAAAATGTTACTTTTCTACTAACCATGAGCACTTTTGGTCCCATTAGCTTAAAAAGGTATTTAGAGAATGTTTAAAAGAGGACTAGTAGGATGATTTTAAGGATAAATGGGTTGTCATAAGAAGATAGACTGAGATCTCATAGCTTATATTGTTTGTTTTTGTATACACTTACACTGCATTTTATATTAATTTTATATTCTAACATCCTTATAAAAACAAATACTGTTTCAGAGTGGAGAGTTTCTTAATAATGCAACTGTCCAAGAAAAAAACAATGCAAACAATTACACAACAGAATTTTAAAATTTGGAAAACAAAGGTAAGGCTGCAGTTCAGTTTTATTTTCCTAACAAAGTGATTCACTTAAAAAATGAGGTGCTGTCAGGGGTAGCAGAGGCTCACACCCTCCAAATGTTTAAGAAGAAAATAGATGGTTTCCTGAAAAATAAAGGGTGAATTTGAATTTTTGCTTTTTCTCAGGGGTGGATGGGTGGTAGATGAATATATCATGGATTAAATTTCTTGTGGTATTATAATATTTATTAATAATTCATTCTTTGTTCAAAATACATGCAAGTTTCACATAATATGAGGTTGAGAAAACTATTAAATTGACCTTGTTTCAAGTTAAATTTGTACCTTTGTTGTTCTCAGAGATGGATATTATAAAGGTGTCGACAGCAGTATTCTTTAACAGTTGTTCATACGGTATCTAGAGGTTATGGACTTATTTATGTTTTATGAGAATGATTAGTCATGTATGTTGCAAGTCTTCCTCAGTAAATGCAAGGCTTCTTGTGAACTAAGATACATTTCCTTTGGTTAGTCTATAACATCACCTTAATCTAGTCTTGTTTGTTTGAAATTAAGCACAAAGCTACACAATGGGCTATCTGTATTCTACCCACCACGGGTGTCGAAACCCGGATTCTAGCATTGTAAGTCTGCAGACATACCGCTATGCCACTGGGGGGCATTCATCTAGTCAGTATAAAAAAGCTATCATCTAGGGTAATTATGACCATAAATATGCACACATTATTTGTTTTTTGTCATAATAAAGACTATACATTTTGTTTTACAGTCATGTTTAATTTCTTTATCTCATTTAACGTCAGCCTTGTAAGAAAGTTTCAGTAGTACTCACTCTGTAATCAATATCTTGAAAAAATCTGTTATCTAGTAAAGCTATGCAATGTAACTCTAACGTGAATTCAGTTTTATCTGGATATACCACAGGTGTATAGGACATTTTTGAGGAGTAAATAATCGCTTTTTTCCATAATGTTATTTGCTGTAAGTTGAAGAGAGAACAGCCTGGTGCAACATAACTGAAGTATTAAAAATTAAAGGAATTCATGGGACTGAAGTTTTAGATTTTTCCATATTGTATTCTGAGGGCAGTAGGCAAGTGGTTTTACACTGAAGGTTTCAAAAAGTCAGACACATCTCCAGCTTATCAGTTTTATTTCTCCAATAAAGTGGTAAATCCATGGAATAATATGCAACATTATAGGAGTTTAAGAAAAGGACTGATGATTATTGGGGGATCAGATCTAGATTTAGTGATTAGTCTTCTGTTTAATGATGGAGGTTCACGGCATCATTGATGTATCATAATTTATTTATTTATTCAATACAAAGTGCTTTTCCACCTTGACCCAGATGAAGACTTGTGATGAGGCTCCTGGCGTTTTGGATTTGTATTAACCAATTGACCCAATTCCTATAGAGAACCCTGAATACATCACCATTCATGAAAACTAAGGAATTCAACTTACTTGTGCTAGGATGAGACCAAAGGAATAGTATGGTTTTTCTGAGAACTGAATAATTCCTTCAGCTACGGATTCATTTAGCAGGCTCTCCCAGTTTATTTGTAAGGAAGCTTTAAGAGATGTCTGCACAATTAACACAGATGGGGTCCCAAAAGTGCTCCAAAGATAATGTATTACATCTGAGTCACCTTTTGCTGAAACATGGACTAGGTTAATGAAATGGCTACCTTCTCCCTTGCATTCTGGCAAATCACAATCAGGATTTAGTATCATATTCAGCTGTAAATGCAGATAAAACACAGTAAGAGAATATACTTTTTATCAAAAGTAATATGTTACTTAATATATAAGAAATAAAACTATCTGCACATAACAGAAAGTAATCAGTTGATGATGAGATATGTACAGTTTTTGGAAGGCAACCCATTCCAAAGGCCAACTACCCTGTTAGAAAAATAAAACCGTCTTAGCTGAAGATGACTTCTACCTTGCCAAAATGTATATTTTTGTGTCCTAGTCCTACTATTCTCATTGTTAAATATAAAAAAAGATGATGCCTCAACACTATCAATTCCCTTTACAATCTTAAACACCTCAGTCAGATCCCCCCCTAACTCTTCTTTTTTCACGAGAAAACAATTTGAGAGATTTCAGCCTCTCGTCATATGGCAACCTCTCCATCCCAGGTACCATTCTAGTAACCATTCTCTGAACCCCTTTTCAACAATTCAATGTCCTTCTTTGCGTAAGGAGACCAAGACTGAACACAATATTCCAGATGTGGCCTATCCAGTGACCTGTACAAAGAAAGTATAACCTCTTTAGACTTGTATTCAATAATTCTATAGATACAACCTAAAATCCAATTTGCCCTACCACTAGCAACAGCACACTGCTTGGATGGCTTTAGAGACTGATCGACTATTACACCAAGATCCCTTTCCTGGGAGCATGCATGCTGGAGTTTCTCGAATTATTGGAGAACCCCGCGAATGTCCGAGTGTTTGCTAGATGCCCTCTTTTTTAGTATATAAGCTTGGCAAAGAAAGCCAGCAATATAGATAGATATAGAGATAGATAATTAAAAAAGCTAACAGTAGTGATGGGAAATAAAGTGTGTGAATCACTGTGATTTATAGTGTGTATTATAAAGTTGTTAAGTATAAAATGACGAAAATGTATTGACTGTGGAACTTCTGTGTATTACAAAGTTTGTATCGAGAAAAAAATAAACTAGTTTTAATCAAGAAGGGACTTGTATTGCTTAAGATCCTTGGAAAGAATTTATACCGGAAACTAACAAACAAGCATATACATAACATTTATAATTCAAATTATGATAACCCACATGCATTATCTTGCATTTATTATAATTAAAACCCATCTGCCATT